ATTCTATGATTCTATGATCCCTTAGAGCACAAAAACATGATGAAGCTGTTAAAGCACCACATATTTTAGCTGACCCTTACTCTAAGCTACACCTGCAGATGCACTGAGTGTAAATTTTGACACTTTGAAACAGTAGGCACAGTGGCCCATAGAAAAATCTTTTTTTCTGTTTTATATGGACCATGATTCAACAACATTATCTCATAGCAGAATGGAACAGGTAGGAAGAGTTTATCAGCATATACATGAAAATATAAAAAGTCTTGTAAGTGTAATGACACGAGCTTTGTAGTTGTTATTCCTTTGCTGAGCTGTGCACCACTTAATTTACAGCTGAGCAAAAATATCTTACTGTAGACTCAGAGAAATCAGACCAATACTGTGCCTATTTGATTTTCAAAAAAGAAATAGAAGCAGTCAAAAAGAGAACCTTGGTCTTGAGGTCTTGTTCTACCTGGGAAATGCAGATGGTGACCATAGAAATGAACATTTTAATCTTTTATCTGCACTAATCTCTGATGGTCATCAAACATTAAGAAATAAGAAAATTCCTACTACTTATAAGACCTCTGCCAATTTGAACAAATCCACTTCTGTACTCCCAAAATGAGTGGGTAATCAGATCTCTTACATCCTACAAAACACAGCAGAGCTCCTATTGAAGGATGTTGGGTGGAAAACAAAACAAAAGAAACTAAAGACAAAGGTGGCAAATTGGTTTCTATTTCCTTCTGTCTGTCTAATGGAAATTGTAAGATTATACTTGGGTATGGGAGCATGCACAAAGGGCTGCAAATTATGCACTCAGAGTATTCTACAATTAAAATTAATGGTGCTGATAGTCACATGGACAGTTTATGCCTTAAAGTGAACTTTGTAGAGTGTTGTGTATAGAGAGTCAGAGTGAGTTATGCACTTCACTCGTAAGACATATAACAATATATTTATTGATGAAAATAATGAATTAACAAAGTTCAAAGTTAATACAAGATGCATTTAACAAGATTCGATGGCAAGGTTCACTTGATTATTTACTGCATATAGGACAGGGTCAGACAAAACTGTCAGGGCCATGTCCCTGCTTACTGCCGAGGGGTTGGACTAGATGACCCTTGAAGGTCCCTTCCAACCCAGTTCATTCTATGATACTATAAGAGATCCTCCTGTTGTGTCACTAGGTTCGGAAAGGACCCCCTTGCTTTCTAAACTTCTCAGAGAGGAGTCCAGGTGTGGCTAGATCCAATCCTAGTCCCAGACTTGGTCAGCATTTTATGTCTAAAGAATTATATATATACACAATAAATCCTTTATATCACTTAGCTAAGATTTTGCAGTTTAGCAGCTGTTAGTCACTTACCGAGTATCTGTTGCAGCAAGGAATCTCTCAACCTCAAGGAGTAGTAACCTTGAGAGGCGTCCTTACTCAGCAGCCTGCTGTCATTTCAGGAGAACTCAATGGGCCCTAGGCTGTCCACCATTTATTAAGTAAAATGATTGATCTATAGTCATATTTACAGACTAGCCTTATTTTGGTCAGTCCATACTCAGCAAGCCCTCCTTTGAACAAGTTGTGCAAGATAGCCCTTGGCTATTGTGTTGTTATCCATCTCTCCCAAGCTGGATGCAGCTATCACAACCATATAGCATCCATCATGGTCACCACTGGTGGTTATCACTTGAACAGGGAAATAAAGATCAGGCTGGGAGGGGAGCGTGGGGGGGGTGAGGGCGGTGTGGCAGGGGGAGCACACTGTCACATAGAGAGAAAGCCCTTAGAAGCAGAAAGGACTGTAACAGAGAAGCTTTATTCTTCCTTCTGGACATCTCAATAATTTCAGTTCAGAGAGACTACTTGGGGTTGAGGAAATAAATTTTCAATTAATTTTCATCAAGACTACCAGGCAGTCAGCTACTCCATTCTCCATAACTAGTTATTTGCAAGAGAAACAATGCAGCTATCCATTCAGTTCAGAATGGTTTACAAGAAATTTACTTCTATACAGAATAATCAGTCAATGAAATCAATGAGAGATCAGACCTATTACCAATATCTTAGGCTCCTCTTTTATTAGTTGAAAGTGACCACTGATAAGACGGACGGGGAAGTTGAGTATAGCAGGCAATATCTTTTCATGACCTTTGATCAAAGGAGCCCCTGCTGTTCCCAGAAGTGATTTGTCTGTTGGGAAAGAAACAGTAAATGAGGCCCACCATGAACTTAAATCAGTTTTTCAAGAAAAATCAAGGAATTAATCTCAGTTTTAAAGAAATGCACATTTCTAAATGAACCGCTGGATTATTAAAGCTTCTAGATTAATGAGACCTGAGATAAGAAGTTTTACAGCTATTAAATTTCAGCCTAGTCAATACAACTGTTATAACCTTGCAGAAGCAACACATCATTCACTCTATTTCCCTTTTTTAGACACTAAAATGTATGGGTTTTTTAAGCCTTGTCTCACAAACAATAAGTGCAATTTTTCAGACTGTGATGCCAGTTTCCCTAGTGAAAGGCTAGAATCTTCTAGGTTAGATGTAGAAAAGCCTAGGAAATGAGAAGAAAATAAACAGTTTCCTTCTCTCTGGGTGGTTTTTCCTTTAGAGTCAGCAAAATCTGAGCTGCCTATTGCTCTCCGAATATTTTATAGACTCATCTCGGTTTTGCTGAATCTTAGTGGAAGAGATATAGTAAGAAATAAACAATAGGGGTTTTCCCTGTTTTTATGCTCAAAATATTACTTTGCTTCTAGGGTGAATACTTAAAGGCATGTGAATATGCCTAGAATAACATGAATAGGAATCTTAGGTTTGGGTACACAGTACAGATCAAAATAAGGGAAGGTGGATTTCTTTTTCAGCTAGGTACATACTCCTCAGAATTATATTGATAGGATCAGATATAGATAAAACTTATACATGCAGACACATTCTGTATATAAAGTAGGAAGTTAATAATGAAATAATAAAACAGTATCTAATTTGCAACTGCAATACTTTTATGATTTTCAAACATGATAGACTCCTACAAATATACTTTCCAAAGACATTACTAATACTTGATTAAATAACTATTAATCAGAATGAAAACTGGAAATATAAAAATCACATCTATAATTAATGTGGGGTTTGGTGGGGTTTTTGTTTTGGGGTTTTTGGTTGGTTGGTTGGTTGGTTTCTTTTTTTGTAGGTAGGTAGGTAGGTAATTCTTCTCTAAGTAACCAAACTATTTTTGGTTTTTTTTTAAGTAAAAAAAAAAAAAAAAAAAAAAAAAAATGTGGCTAAAATGTCTTTGTAGATTACTATATTATTCTGCATATTCAGTCTAGCTTGATAGACCCTGAGTGGTATGATGAGACATATATCCATGCAAAGCTTTTTCTCAGCTGTGGCCATGGATATTTTACTAGCAAATCATCACAAAGGCCAGCAGAGTGTTTTTTCATTTTTTCAGGTATATGGCAGAATATTATTATGAAAATGTGTCATTGTTCATGTTTTAGACTGGATATATAGTTTTGTTCTCTATTGGTGTTCATATTGAGCATATTCTGAGAACTATACTCCATATAAAAATAAAGTTATGATTTATTAGCAAGTAATATTAGAGATCAGCTATTGTTCATCACTGATTTCTTGATCTGCATGCCCATACTTATGTTTCCATCACCGTAGCTATTTTTTTTTCTCTGAAGAAAGGGAAAAAATTTCCTCAAGAACCTTCATCCTTTGTACACTGTCACCAGGTATATCACTCCACAATTACTCCTCTCAGTGGCAATAAAAAAATCTCAAGGGTCCTCATTTTTCCATAGAGTGAAAATATAGATTTGAAATAATTTTCACATATAAAAGGGGCAAAGTGCTAAGAATACAAAGCTTCTGGGGTATAAGTCACATTTTTCATTCTGCTGTGATGATTTTATCAAACTTAGCTTGCTTGAAAAGAAAAAAAAGAATGTGTGTTGAAGTCTTAGATCCTTGACCAAAGAAAAATGGTTTATTTGGAAAGATTTTTCAGAGGCATAGGTGGAAGGCTGTAGTCACTTCCATTGACTTACTGCATTGCTTTTAAAGCACCGCTTGTAGCATTCAGATGCTTTCTGCTTTGGGGAAAGTTGGGGCTTCAAGTTTCTTGGGTACAAATATTTACAAGGTATGAGATGACTGATAAAACAGAGACTAAGCTCAAGCTGGACACTTTTCTGAAAGTTGATGGGCTGATGCCCAGGTTGTTGCATATTTACTGATAAAAGCAACATATGTAAGTTATTTTAAGCATAAATATTGCTAATTGTGTTATCTGTAGTGTGGTTGTTTATTTATAGAGGTGAGAGATATTCTTCTGAATTTTGACTGTTGTTTTCCATTTTATCTCACAATGACTATCTGGTTTGACATATTTGTAAATGAAAGCTATTCTGCTTTCTTGGGAAAAAGCAGCCAAGAAGTTTCATAATCAATCTGTTATAATATATGTGATAATATCCAGAATCAACAATTTAGCACATGAACTTGTCACCATATCTCACTTACTGGAGCTACAATATATCAGTTGAATGATGACAATGTGTTTGTGGGCTGGAAGGAAATGGATTTTGTACAGAGGTATCTGTCTAAATGTAGAATGGTATACTTTTCACCTTGAAAAAAAAGGATAAACCACTATATATATGATTTTTTTTTTTTCATTTATGGAAACTTTATTTACCCCTTCTCTTTTGATCCAGAAAAGCTTTTATATTTTCTCAAGATTGTGATCTTTTGATCAAGATTTTGATGTTTTTTTCAAACAGATGAAAAAACAAATAATTTGTAGAATGTGAGTCTCAATGAGACTGTTTGAGTATGGGAAGTGTATATCTGTGACTGCATAACATAATACATATCCACAGATCACATCTCTGGCATCAACAGTTTAACATGCTTGATATGTCCTTTTATTTTTTTTTAAAGGACAAATACTTTTATTCTTAAACAATTCTGTTTATCTGTGTTTCCAGCTAATTCAAAGCATCAGTGCAGTGGATCAAGACGACTCAGCAGAAGGTCACCATTTTTACTTCTCATTGGCTCAGGAGGCCAAAAACAACTCACATTTTACTGTCAAAGATAATCAAGGTGGTGTCAATCATGTAGCTCTTTAAGATCTTCCTAATAAAAGGTGCATGCTTCTAGTGGTTCTTATGTCACCAATTTTATAAAAATTTCCACGTAAATAGAGATTTTTGTTATAAGAGATGAACATATCATGAAGTGCATTTCAAAGCAATAATTCAGTAATACTAAACAGTTTATTTTCCTTTTTTTCAGTCAGATAACATAAACAGCAAAATACAGTTTTATTTCAAAGAAATAAAAAATGATAAGATGAAAAAGACGCTGATATTCCTTAAAATTTATTTTCTTAATGTAGGATATGGCGAGAAATACCAGCTTTCTTGTTAAAATTATTTATTTATCTAAAAATAAGATCACCAGAAGAGACGAGTGCTATTAATACAGTCTGTTACTTCATCACTTCAGCAAGACTAAAATTCTAAACACTGATAAATACCAATATAATCTTATTTCCTAATATATTTAAACTGCACACAATGATTAATGATGACATCAAAAAATGTCTTCTGTATGTATTTTAATGTTATTCAGAATTGATTGAGACTCTTACAAAGAGTAATATAGAGGGATATCAAGCAAAATAAGTCTGAGGTGAAATTGTAAGTGCAGTATCTGATGGAATTGCAAGGAGGATGACCACTTAGAGTCAGTGTGCTGAGACTACAAAGAGAGCTTCTTCAAACTCAGCTAAAGTACACATTGCTCTAATTGACTTTGCTAATTATTTTAATATTCTGGCTAGGTGAATAAATCAATGGAAATACGTTTTGGAAAGTTCAGAATATGTTAAATGGCAAGCTACTTCCCTCAATAGCTCCAAAGTTAATGTATTAATATATGTTTCAGTTCCCAGCTTCATTAACCTCTCACTCAGTGCCAGGAAGAGATAATTTGTTACATTAAGGTCAAACTGTGTACAAGCCGTGAGTCTTTCCCATCTTTGCTCATTCTGCACAAAATCCGAGCAGAGCCACACACAAAGAAATACATCCAGTTCCATTTTGTGGCTATTGATGGGGAAAAAAAAACAACCCACCTTTTATAACATGGTAGAGTCAGTCCTCAGCCTCTCCCTTTCTGCTGCATTTCACAGAAATGGCTGAGCGAATGGGGATTTGCTAGGCAAACTCAAAAATGAATCTACAGATCTGGAACAGTTTATCTCGGAGTTGTCTTCTGAATTATGACAGAAACCTAGAAAAACTTAAATGTGGGGGAGCTAACTTCAGTAGACCGTTTGGATAGATGTATCATACAGAAAATGGTAGACACACATGCAGTAATTCACCCTGACAGGAAAAAAAATTCTGACATGTAAACATTTATAGGTTTCTTCTTTTCATTGTACACAGATTTAGGCAAGGCTAATTTGTTTTGCAGCAAACTAAGTTTCAGATGTGAATTAGTTGATATGCATTAAAAACTGAACTGAAGCTGCTTGCTGGGTTTTGTACGGAAATGATTTCTAAACACTAACACTAATAGTTAAATACAAAGCAGGAAGGGAGCCCCTAGAAACTTTTCTCTAATTGAGATAGTAGGAGCTCAGCTAGCTCCAGTTTTTGAGTCAAGAAAAGAAATAAAAGACTATTTTAATAGACCTTTTTCCTGCTTTCTCTTCTTTCCCTTGCCACCTGCTTTCTCTGTGTGCTAAGAGACCCACTTTTGAAGCCTTTTGATTGGTAAACTGTCTATATTTCATCTGCGAACTGCTGGATTTGTAACAGCTGGTTACATGGAACCATTTTAAGAACCAATTAGTTAGGTAGTGAACATGGTGGGATATTTCAGGTACTGAACATGGTGGGATATTTTTAGCTCTGAACATTAAAAACAGAGCTTCTATGTAAAATTTTATTATTGTGCCTAGAATATATATGTATAAAGAAACCCAACAAAACACAACCCCCCCCAAAAAAGCAATTATTCACAACTGACACAAAAACCCCACCACATGTCGGTGCCTGATCTTGCTTTTTAAACTTTGTTAATATGTAGCTTTGCACTGTACTATTGTTTTTAAATAGGTCAGATTCTACTGGAATTTTATTGTTATTGTTAAAAATGATAAATAATATCATAACATAACAATTTATCTTCTAGATAACACAGCTGGAATTTTCACAGCAAAAAGTGGCTTCAGGAGGCAAGAGCAGTTTTATTTTTACTTGCCAATCTTAATTCTGGACAATGGAACCCCACCACTGACAAGCACAAATACTCTCACTATCACTGTCTGTGACTGTGACACTGAAGTTAACACCTTCTACTGTCGATATGGAGCTTTCATGTATGCCATGGGTCTCAGCACAGAAGCTTTAGTTGCTGTTTTGGCTTGCATACTAATACTCCTAGGTAAGTATGAGTAAGATAAATTACTTTGTTTCCTTTTACAGTAGTCTTGATTAAGTGACAAAGGTGTTTCCTTGACTGGAAGCCTGGAAGTATTGTGCTATTGAGAAAATAATGCAATAAGGCAATTTTTTAATTTTTTTTTCTGTTTTCTTAACTGTAATTCCTCCCCCCCTGTTTTTCAGTAAAATTTGAATTCTAACACAATGTCCTAAAAGTTGGTTTCAGTTGAGTCATGGCTCTACTTGTCTGTATTAGTCTAAAGTCTGTATTGAGCCCAGGTAAAGCTGAAGACAGCATTACACAAGGAAATCGGCTAGAATAAGAATATATTAGTAGGAGAAGCACCCTATTTATTCTACCTTGGGTATGCCAAATGTAGAGCTAAGATAAATACAAATAATACAAGAAAAAAATAATTCAATAGTCTCATAAAGCAACTTCAGAAACAAACAGGAAGTTTCTCTGACAATTAATAAAGTTGCATCTCCAGACAGCCTTTTGTTCAAATGTTGGCCCTCTCCTTTTTCCTCTCACAGGCAACCAAATTAACCTCCATTACATTTGGGAGCCTGTCAATGTGAAAAGTGACTTTGAGAGTGTTTTAAATGCACAGGAGTTGTGTTTGTACCTCTGCAAAGGGTCGTGCATAACCGGCACACAGCACTCAAAACCAGACCAGCCACCCAAGGCTGGCTGTTCCTACACTGCATGGGGCTATGGCTGCTGCGAAACATATTGGAGGAACAGCACTCAGGGAAGCTGGTGAAGAGTGCAGCTATCGCTGATAAAACACATTTCCTTTTTTTCAGCAAAAGGATATTCCTGCAGTGTTTAATGAATGATTTGATGACATTGACACATTATAACAGCAGGCACACTGTACTAATCAATCTCCAAAAGCTAAAAATCCATCTTGAAACTCTGTACCTCTCTGAATCAGGGCGGTTGAGGTATGGTAGCTTCTGAGGCCAGGAAAGAAAGAGAAATGATAGAGCCATGTAGGTTTGTTTCCCAAGGCAAAATTACTGACCTTAGACCTTGGTCACAGATGGGGGTCATGGGCCTTAAGACCAAAGTCAAGCTGATGCCAATAAAGCAACAGGGAAAGATTTCCAAATCCCTATTGCCTGTGTAGTAATATGGCATATCCATATTATACCATATAGCAGTATATTTCATAAAATGCCATATCTAAAAATACCATGAAACAATTGATGGACTAGATTAGTAAAAACATTTTTCCACTAATGAAACTACAAATAAACAACTCCAAAATAAGAAAATGAAGATAGAGTCTGGATTTCACTAAGTAATGCGATACCAAATAATCATTATAAATTGTGCAGACCTAGCATAAATTACTTTTCAACAATTTTTTTTTTAATTAAAAATCAGAATCAAACCAAGAAAAATGCAGCATAATATCTGACTACACAATATAAAATTCAGAAAGAAAGAAGTAATAATAAAGATTACATTGCTTCAGAAAACAAAAACTTTCACTGAAAATCATTCATAGAATCATAGAATGGTTAGGGTTGGAAGGGACCTTGAAGATCATCTAGTTCCAACCTCCCTGCCATGGGCAGGGGCAGCTTCCACAAGACCAGGTCGTTCAAAGCCTCATCCAGCCTGGCCTTGAACACTTCCAGGGAGGGGGTATCCACAACTTCTCTGGGCAACCTGTTCCAGTGTCTCACCACCCTCACAGTAAAGAATCTCTTCCTAATATCTAATCTAAATCTACTCCTATTCTGTCAATGTATTTGTTAATAAGAACAAATACAAGAGTAATACCTTTAAACTTCCATACCGCTGAAAGAAACACAAAACAATTTTAAGTAAACTTTTATTTTTTTCTCCATAGAAGGATATCTGCGTAAAGAACATTCTTTTTGCTACCCTCATTATACAATATGACCTCTAACAGTCTATAAATAACAGCATATGATACTAAATATGTCACCAATAACTACAATAAAGCTGAGGCTTTGAAATGAAGGCTTGCAGCTCTGTTCTGCTGCTGTATTTTGATCAGCCATAGTAGGAACAGAAGACAAGAAAGACAATTCAATCACTAAAAAAATAATTTTAACAAGTTAAAAATCACCCGTATTCAGCATTCTGTCCACAAGGTTAATGGATTATTTTCCTTAGCATAAGGAATAGAAACTGGACTTAATTATTTCCTGTTGTACCTCTGACCTCCTGACTATATATCTAAGTGCGAACTCATAGATTCATAGAATCATAGAATGTTGTGAGTTGGAAGGGACCCACAAGGATCACTGAGTCCAACTCTTGCCCTAGCATAGGACAATCACAAGATTCATACCATCTGTCTGAGAGTGTTGTCCAAATGCTTCTTGAATATTGTCAGACTTGGTGCCATGACCACCTCCCTGGGGAACCTGTTCCAGTGCTCTTCCACCCTCTAGGTGAAGAACGTTTTGCTAATGTCCAACCTAAACCTTCCCTGGCACATCTTCCTGCCGTTTCCCCTAGTCCTATCATTGGTTGCCAGACAGAAGAGATCAGCACCCACCCCTTCTCTTCCCCCTGTGAAGAAGTTACAAACTGCAATTAGATCTCCTCTCAATCTCCTCTTCTCCAGCCTGAACAATCCAAGCAACCTCAGTCTCTCCTCATACAGCTTCCCCTCTAAACCCTTCCCCAGTTTTGTCACCCTCCTCTGGACACTCTCTAGTAGCTTTGTATCCTTTTTATACTGTGGTGCCCAAAAGTGCACACAGCACTCAAGGTGAGGCTGCATCAGTGTAGAGTAGAGTGGGATGATCACCTCCCTCAACTGGTTCAAAACCCTACAATTTAGTCTCATAGTTGAATAAGTTTCCCAGAAGCAGCACATGTACCTGTTAACTACACATCAGCATCTTCATATGGCTCTGAGCTCTCAAAATTAGACAACAGGCAGGAAGCTGCAGAAATAGAATGTGCTACAAAAAAAGCCATATGTTTTTATTTATCCCTATGATCACATTCCATAGAAAGGGCAAGGATGAAAACAGTGGAAGGGTACCTCATAACTATTATGTCTAGATGAGAGTACTCTTGGACAGACACTTTCTTGACTCAATAGCAAAGTCATATACGCTAGTTCCCCTAATTCCTTCTCCTGGTTTCCAACAGAGAAAACAGGAATGTATGATTGGATTAGTGGCTTCTAGACTTCTCTGCACTCCCAGAGTCACCTTTTTAAAATCTGAGCTTTCCTTGTCCCAGGCAATCTTTAGTAGTGCCTTGGAAAGCAGACCCCCAATTTAAGTCCCTGTCTTAGACCTGTCAATCAGTGTGAGCTTACAGGAAGGCCAGTGTGCATTTCAAGGTTTTTTTGATTGTTGCAGGATATCTGAATCTAGTCACTTTGTGTTGTGCACTTAAGGGACTGAGGATCAGGCAAACTATGTCACTGCATTATCCAAGCCATTAGCATAAATATTCATCAAAGTCCTCTCCTCAGATGAAATAAACCCATGGTATCTACTGGGCTTACGCATATAACAAAAGTCAAAGCAGGGGTCTAGGTAAATATATTACTTACAAAAAAAACCCCACAAACCTACCCTACCACACTTTTAACACACACACACACACACACACACACACACACATATTTCAAATGCATCGAATCTTCAAATGTATTTTTGTGATTATCTAAAATGTAATAATAAAAGGTTGTATGTGAAATATATTTGCTACTTATATCTGAAACCTAAAGTTGGGGTGTACTTTACTTACAGTATTTTACTCTGTCATCATGTGTACCATTAAAGTTCATCATGCAAAGGGTTTGGAGAGTTGAAACTATCTAGGTTTTGTAAATATATAATAACATTTTAGAAATTCTTGTTTCCAGTGCTTTCAAGTTTGATGTTGAAATTACATGAAATAGTATACAAAAAATATCTAGAAATAAAGAACTACTTCAGGTCCCTCATATCCCTAAATGAAGTAGAATCCTGTCATTGTTGGTAGTTGTGTCATGTTATGCCCTGGGTAAAAAGTTACATCTCACAAACTACTTACTTATCAAATAGAACTGCAGTAATTAATCTCTGCGAAATTCTAGACTATTTCAGCAGGGTCATTCAGCTAAAAATAAAGTGAGGTAGGATTAAAAAATAATACTCTAAAATAAAATTTGAAAAAACTGCTCTGATTCATAGGCCTTGATAGTAAGCACTGGTACAACATCACACAAAACGTAGTGGTAGTCTTCAAATTTCCAAACCACCATAACAGAAATAATTGAACTGTACCCTGTATAGTCTGTGGAACTGAATAATTCAACCAGCTGAGGAGGGTATCTTACTCGTTATCTCATTTTTCATTTGATCTTCCTGGGGCTTTGATCTGAGAGAAAGTAAGAGATTAGGAATTTAAATTCTGAATGTGAAATTGATATATTATGTGATAACCCAAAGCAGTTTCAAAAAACATAACCTGTGTTTCCATCAGTTTCAAACTCCCATCTACCAAAAGAATGGCTCCACTTCTTTCACCTATTTTATAAGTTCCTTTGTAGTCATTTTCCCACTACATACTATGCTCATTGCAAAACCCTAAACTTCATTCATATTACAGCTCTATAAATTTGTTATGATGACTTCACTTTGCACTAGCATTGATACTAAGAAATGTTACCATTTTTAAGTCTTTCCAAGCACATTCAAAGTCTTTGGTTCTGTTTATTTTTTCCTTTTTTTTTTTTCTCTTCCTTCCTTCCTTCCTTTCCCTTCCTTTCCCTTCCCTTCCCTTCCCTTCCCTTCCCTTCCCTTCCCTTCCCTTCCCTTCCCTTCCCTTCCCTTCCCTCAGTGTTCTTTTTGGCAATTTTAGCCATAAGGCAGCAGAGGAAGAAGTCTCCCTTTTCAGAAAAAATGGAAGAATTCCGAGAGAACATTGTCAGGTATGATGATGAAGGAGGTGGTGAGGAGGACACAGAAGCCTTTGATATTTCAGCACTGAGGACCCGCACCATCATGCGAACACACAAACCTCGGAAGACAGTCACCACAGAAATCCACAGCCTCTACAGACAGTCTCTGCAGGTTGGCCCTGACAACGAAATCTTCAGGCAATTCATTTCAGAAAAGCTTGAAGAAGCCAATACAGATCCTAGTGCTCCTCCATATGACTCACTTCAGACCTATATATTTGAGGGGACTGGCTCTTTGGCAGGATCCCTCAGCTCTTTGGGTTCAAACATGTCAGATGTGGATCAGTGCTATGATTACCTTACAGACTGGGGACCTCACTTTGAACAGCTTGCAGGCATGTACACTTCCCCGAGAAGTGTGGAGGATTAGCCGTTCTTTGGTTTGTTGTTTTATTTTCCTAAATCTCAGCAACGAAAAATATATGTGGATTTTTAAAAAGGAGAACACCCCATGTTTAAGTATGAAAAATAAAGGCCCAAGGTTATTTTCTAGAAAAAATATTGGATGTAGAGACCTTTTGGAAAATCACACCAGGCGTGGCATGAAGTAAGGGGATGGAGATGGCTATTTAGGTGCCCAAATGTAATCTGTGCTGCTTTGGATATCTAGGCCCCCTTCTGGATACTGAAAACCTTGGTCCTGCAAGTACAAAATGAGGAGTAGAAGCCATAAATGGATATTGTAAATATTCCGTCATCCATAAGCTTTAAACTGTTCCCAAAGTTAAGACAGACTTTTGTTGTTGCAGTTGAATATATTCATTAACCAAAGTTACATATGCACATTTGTATAATGCTTCATTATATAAATATACTTGTGTGAAAAAGTAGACCCCAGATATTACAATACAATTGTCAGAAGCACTCACAGGATCATCTATTTATTGTTCTTAGAATGATAAAACTAAAACAAATCTCTTTTCCTATAAGTGCAAAAAATAAAGGCCTATTACATCAGCAAGTATTTGCTACCATTTTAGTTTTAATGGATCTATTGTAAAATACATAAACCAATACTTAATTTATCAAATAAGACAGAAAAAAATAAATCAGTTCAAGTTAGAATCAATATTCAACGTAAATACTGCAATCAACTACATTATAGATTACTATACTTAGAACAAAAAGCTATCCAAATACAGGCAATTTTCCTTTTATTAAGAGTTTAAAGGATGACTGATTTACCAACATAGATGTATTTTTTTATTATGGAATATAAAATTATCTGTAGTAGTCAGTTTTATTATAACAATATTAAGAATCTTTAAAATGCTAAGTTGATAGTTATAAAACTTTTTGTATAATGTTAGATAATAAGATAATAAAATGTTTTAATATTAATTCATTTCTGAAAATGATCCTGAATCATTCTAAAAGACTCCAGTCAGACTTCAAAATAAATTTCCCACTGATTTTTTTTTTTCTAAATATTCCACAAATAATATAAAACCGTCTCTGAATATTTCTTTACTCTTACTTATACCATTACCCAACAGCAATTTTGGATCAGAGGGTCATGAGATACATTCTAAATGGTCTGTCTGGAAAAAGCAACCTGCCTGTTATTTTATTCATCTCTCTTCCATCAGGTACTTATTTTATAGAAATTACATCATGTAATCATCTGATACATTTCCACAACTAAATGCTGGCATCAGGATAAAGAAAATTATGTAACATTTCTTTTTCTTTTCTTCCCCCCTTTTTTCTTTTAATAAGATTTTAGGTAAGAACTACTGAATTACAGGGAGCCAGGTAAAGCTTATGGAAGGAAAAAAAAAAAACCCAAACAAACAAACACACACACAAAACCCCAACAAACAAACAAAAAACGACATGCAGCATACAAGCTCTGCAATGTTTGCTAAAATTGCTGTTCACTGAAGAAAATCAAGGCATGTAGGCTTAGTGGAAAGGTGCCAGTGAAGAGTTTAGATTCCTGTCAGCTAAAAATAAAACATGTGGAGGAGTTTGAGTGTCAAGAGAGATTTCCACTGTGAGGTCTGCTAAGGGCTGAAGCATTATTCATGATACTCATAGCTGAAAAAATACAGGGGAGGGAGGTCATCTGACCAGGTTCAGGTGAAAAAGCATCTGCTTCATAAAGCAAAACTGGTTTTTGTCAGTCTCATGCCAGGACATCAGTATGAATGAGCAGCTACAAAAGAGTCTTAAAAGATGCACAAGTAAAAATGTTGTATGACTTTAACATTTGTGTTCAATGGCTCTCAAACAGATGTGACAAAATAACATTTATTTGAGACAATATTTTACATATTAGTAATTTGCTCCATGAAAAGGAATAGAGAAAGAGAGAACTATACATACACTGTTTGTTGGAGATGGTGAAAAGTACATTTTTAGGACTAGGTCTATAGATCTATACAGGTTATACCCTAAACAAATCTTTATTCCACAGATTGTCCCAGTGGCATTAATAGAATTCCTTGTGCTTCCAGGTTGTATTTAGTACAAAAAGGATAACTGTCTGATCCTTTCTCAATCCAGAGATTTTGCCCATTTACATGGGGAAATAGCTTTAAACACACAATGATATTTGCACTTATACTTTCCTCTTTTTTACAGTAAGGAACTGCTATAAGAAAGAATTTTTGTAACCAGTGCATAGCACTGTCATGTAATTTTTTGTAACCAATGTATGCCATTGTCACTAACTTGTATATGACAGAGAATAAAGGTTTACAGTGGATTTTAAATGGTCTTTAGCTGAAAAGGCGTAAGACCATGTTTGCACAACAGAGAAAGGGAGTGTTTTCCTCTGAAGTAAGAAGTTATTCCTAGCTGTTACTGGGTCACATCTTATTATGTTTCTGGTATTCAATCCAAGTCAAATCTATTAATTTATTTCCACATGTGAGAAAAGAAATCACTGAACTGAACTAGTAACTCCACATTTCTTTTAATATACTGTACTTAATTTAGCTGAACAATACCTGCAAAAATGTTTTGTAGAAGTGCCTGCTTGTTTGAAGGAAGTAAACATTCTGAGGAAGCCAAAATTCAACATATAAGAGATATCACAATAATTAATAGTATGAAATTAATAAAGGATGATTTAAAAGCCAGAGTTCCTGATGATGAGTTCTATTAAACTGTGGAATGATTTTCCCAAGGGAATCCTCTATTACTTTTACCTATTGGTTGAAGTGAAGACTGCAAGTATGTTACCAGATGGCAAATATATATTCAGTTGTTCGTGACCTGCCTGAGGGAATATAAGGAAGACTTATTGACTGGTCAAAGGAAGTATGATCATACACGCTACTTTTCTGTATGAATGATTTGAAGAGATGTTCCTGTATATTTATTTTTCTGTAACATGGTAATGAGACAGATTAAGAACTGGTGAAATACCTGACAAAAGTTTGGCTTCCTGTTTCAGTCCTCGCTCATAGGGATTCAGTGTGTTGTATTATTGTTTTTATTATTTAAAAGCCAAGGAAATTAAAACTATGCATACATTAATAAATGATTAGCATCCAGATATCTGAAGTTTAAAAAAAAAAAAAAAAGAAAAAAAGAATAAAATCACTTGATAGTACAATGCAGCTTCAGACTCATTGTTGTGACTGGAAAAGGGTATTTTGTTTATTGATTTACCAACTCTAAAAAGTTTTCATTTGATTTTCATTTTGTATATCACTATTTAGTTTTTTGTCATCATAACACTGACAATTCTGCTTTCCACTGAGGATAACATGTCTTTAATTCACATAATTTTTCTACTGCATTTTCTCACAGATGCTGTCATTACACTCCTAGCTTTGCTTTCAAAATTTGCATTGGAAATGTGGTTGTTTTAACACTCATTCTTAACTGTATTGAGTAACCCTGTCAGATAAGAGTAAAATATTGTTGAAAAGACAGTGTGCATTTTATGTGTCAAAGTCAGATTTAATATATGCTCTCTGAGGAGCAGAATATGAAGGATATTATGTGATTTTACATTTTGGCAAAGAACACATTTTACCCTTGATGCAGGGTATGAACAAATAGAATAAAAGTTATATAAAAAATTAGTTAAAATTGGAAATCTGTAAGATTTCTCTACCAGAAAATTGATAAACCTATATTTTATAAAGAAAAAATAGATAGGATTAATGTTTATTTTAAAAGTTTACACATTTTACAACAGTAATTTGGATGCTCTAATATTTATTAAGACATAATTCTTCATATAAGGGTCTATATCAGCCTTATGTCTCATACACAGTGTCAAGGAACAGTGTGTCAACAGTGTCAAGGATATTTAACTTTAGTGCACAGAAGGATAAAACATACGTACAGAGAAACTGTTTAGATCAGTATGAATCTTTTCCCACAGCAAATAGATATTAGCAATAATCAGAAATATGCATAAGAATCAAGAAGATATCTTCCAGCAAAGGCAATTAGATATACAGGACTAAGAGCAAATATTAATAAATACAATTAGAGACCATCACTGCTTCACAAAGCTCTCCAGTAGTAGAAATCAGAACAAGATATTAATGGCTTTTAATTCCCCAAACATTTTAATTGTGATTTAGGTAAAGTTTTAATAATATTAAAGTTTATAATTTAAGCAATACTCCACATGTAGACAGTCAAATAGAATTAGTTTGTAGAGAAACAGTGACATCTGCATGCATATATTTGATCAAAAGGATACAACAGAAGTTATTGGATTAAAACTAAAAAGAATGCAAATCTACCCACAGATATATGATACATCCCTTTTTGACATTGTAATTTCTGTCATCACAAATTCCTCTGAAAAGAGACTTTAAAAAGGGCATCTTAGACAATTGTTTTAGCAGTTTAGGAGCTGGAACTTTTTTTTTTTTTTTATATACTGTTTCTGTGTGTTGGACTTAACACATGTCGAAAATATCCCCCATTATTAACAGTGAGGGTACCTGAGATATAATGAAGAACTAGATGCCCTGGGGAGCAGAAAATTATTAAAATGTAAGAGCAAAAATAAAGATTATCCACTCTGGAAACAGTCCTTTAAAAAAATTCTGCTATTATCCTGGGCATTTATCCAGCAAAGTAATTAAGGAGGACAAGGATATTCTAGCTGCTAAAATAACTATGAACTGCCAATAAGATTCAGTCCAGAAAAAAAAAAAAAAAAAGAACCAAAGCTGTACTAGACAATACAATAGACAAAAGAAACATTGACAGTGAAATTAGATTGAGATTAGATTACCTAATAGTTTAATTACTTGACAGCTCATTCTCTTTTGTCAGTGTGGTGATTTAACCCACCATGGGACTATGCAGTCCTGCAGTCACTCTCCCCATCCATTGAGATGGGAAGGGAATCACAACAAAGGGGACACAGATTAGAATGAGGACAGGGATGGCTCACTCTCCAGTTATGATCACGGGCAAAACAGATCAATTTAGGGAAG